GTGTGACCATCAGGATCGATAAACAGCAACATAACATCATAACTCAATACTTTAAAAACTCAAACTCGGTACTTCACTCGGTACTTCAAAAAACTCAGAACTCGGAATACTTCAAAAACTCAGAAAACTCATAAAACATGTTCAGATCTTTCATAAAACTTGTCAACAATCTTCAGTAAAATACCAAACTTCATCAGTCGATGTGGTTCCAGATATTGCTTTGAAAACAGTCTCTCCCACTTCTCTGTGTTGATTCTTTCAGGCTGCATTTGTGTCGAGCCATGAATTCTTCTGTGACGTGTCTTTCAATCACACGTTTCAGCTTCAGTGTCCAGATTCAGCAATTCAATTCAGTCCAAATTATGTCCAAATTGTGTAATCCAATTGTTCCAAATGATGTCCATGCAAAAGAGGACGCTGGTGTTGTCCATGTCTCAGCAGCTCACAGCAGGCCTGACTGGAATCAGGGGCTGTGCAGATTGTCCATGGGCTGATCCAGATGCATTCTCTTGAGGTTTCTCAGTTTTGGCTTGAAAAAAAAAACACATTTTTGTGTAAAAAAAAAAGTCTTCTGTTCTCTAGATGTTACAGACAATGCCCGCATCCTCCACCACCTGAAGAAGATGACAAAGTCTGGGATCGCGTCTTTAATTCTGACAGAAGACATGTTTTATTGTCGATGGTAGAGACAGCACGAACAACAGATACAACAGAATGCAAGTGTATTATACAGAGCGGAGGCATGGAGACCTCCAATCAGCAGCTTCCACGGTGCCATGTAGCTTGGCCTTCAGATAGACAAAACAAGGGAAAAGTACAGGCTTCTGCACATTGATAGAATGATGAGTTTAACTTTAACAAAAGTTGCTTAAAAGTGTTATGAAATCTCACAATCATTATGGTAGAACTGTGACAAATGTAAACAATAAAAAAACACACCTTGTCGTGTTAGGAAAAATGTTCAGGATGTAAAAAGATAAAGTATTGTATGAAATCAGATTGACAGATTTTGGTTTTGAACGAGTTCAACAGTTTTGTATGTGATGACCAAAGCCATGAAATGAGCTTTAGTTTTACAGGGAGAAACAATTCAGTCGTGATAAGTTTTATTTTGACTAACAGGACAGAAGCAAATGACAATATTTATTTTTACCAACCGTAATCGACAGGGCCAAGCCAAAGTAGCCCTGTATATTCTCTGGGTCAGTCTTAGAAACATTAAGTTTCCCCTCTGGTTCACAGTGTGTGCGGCACGGTGGCTGAGTGGATAGCACTCGCGCTTCTTGACACGAAGGTCCTGGGTTTGAATCCCGGTCGGGACAGGGCCTTTCTGTGTGGAATTGGCATGTTCTCTGTGTCTGCATAGGTTTCCTCTAGGTGCTCCGGTTTCCCCTACCCAAGTGACCTTGGTCCATGAAATGCGCTATATAAATAAACATCATGATCTTTTAATGTGGGGGCTAATTTAAACTCAAAATAGTAAGTTATTGTAGGGGACAGTAATCTGAACTTAAAAAAGTAAGTATTTACAGACTTGAAATTTCCAGTAACTTGAATTTAAACACTTAGTTGGCAGAACTTGGAAAACTTAACTGACACAACTTAATAAGTGTAGTTCTTCAAAACTTGAAGAATTAAGTTAATGCCTTCAACTCAAAAATCCTTCGCAGCTGGTTGCTTTGAAATTTTGAGTTGAACTAACTTTTTCTTTTTTACAGTGTGCATGGACCAGAAGTCCAATTAAAATAATGGACAATTGCTCCTGCAGCCCTGAACAGGACATGCGAGATGCGCGGGTCGGCCCGAAACCCGCAGTCAACCCGCGGGTCCCGCGGTTTCGGGCGGGTTGGATGCCTCAAAAATATGAGTCATGTCAGGTGCGGGTGGGTCGGGTCAGAAAGCTCCTGATCCCTATATAATATTATATATGTGAGCCACGGTATGGGAGTCCCTTGAGTACATTTGCAATCGCGCAGGGAGGCTGTTAAACAAAAAAATCATGCTGACAAACAGGATCGCTCCTTCCTGACTCCCCGCTTAAAGCCTCAGAACACTCCAGCCCGAGGACAGACGTGTGATCTACACAGAGGCACCGAGACTGATGACTGTGGGCCTCACAGCAGAGGCCTAAAGCAGGGGCCTCATTACTTTAATACTTAAAGTCTGTGGTAAATACACGGGCTACAGGTGTTCCACGTGCTTAGACCATATTAATATTGTATGTGTAACATTCAAAATAGATTGCAGAGGAGAGAGCAGCGAGAGAAGTTTGGCAGGGAGTTAAAATAAATGAATTACAGCTTGCTAAATTATTTGAAAGCATCTTCTTGTTATATTTATGTATTTATTAGAAATGTTAGAGATGCCAGAGAAAAGGCGTCTGCTTTTTTCTGAGTGGGAGGAGACACCAGCGTAGCTGTTTGAGTCAGATAACGTTCAGCGTTATATTACCAATAGTTTCTCTTTCCATAACGATATTCTCTCTTTTTGGAAAGATCACCAACGTGATGCAAAAGTTTACGTTATATGCAGTAGTTTTAATGTCTGCGGGTTATTCCAGAGACTGGCCTGCTACAAGGAGTTGCCCGTTTTAACCAGATTGTCGATGTGCGCGGGGCAGAAACTCATAGGCGACGGATATAAGTCCGATGTACAGTACGCTAGGCTTAAAGCCTCTCTCCTAGTGAAGAGAGAAGAAAGAGCGATGAGACGCCAATGTAACCCTGCTCACAAGTGCCACCTGGTGGTTGTTTTGGTCATTGCAACGTCACTGGGAGGGGGGAAAATAAAAGACGCGTGAATCACACGTGAGTGTCGTGTGATTCACGCGTGAAAGGCGACAAAACGGAATGGGACCTACTGTACTAGAATGTAACATTTCGTTGTCACTGACAACGATGAACTGCCAATCCAGATACTTGGGTTCAAATCCCGCCTCGGACACTTTTTCACACTCAAAACGGCAATTTATGTGTAGTGAGCAATTGTCACCAGTAGAGTGCAGTATTGTGTTGGGCATCAGTGGAGAGAAGAGAGAAAAGGCAGTCCTGTGGCATAGATCCATGGTTTTCAATGCATGGGCGTAACCCGCTATGACGTCACACACAGGTTAGAGCATAGACAACTTAAATTCATGAAAAACACGTTCTTTTTATAAAATATAGGATTTATTTTGCCGGAATCTCTTTCAAATTGACATTGTCATGCAATTTTGATATCCACTTTTTTTTTTTTTTAAACCCGTCATAAGGTCTTTAAGTATTAAGTATTAAGTAAGTGTTAAGTATTTGGTCAATAACAAAAATTCAACTCAATACTTTGTAATATAACCTTTGTTGGCAATAACTAAGGTCAAAAAATTATTTATAGGTCTCTCTGGTATTTTGGCACATTCCTCCATGCAGATCTTCTCGAGAGCAGTGATGTTTTGGGGCTGTTGCCGAGCAACACTGACTTTCAACTCCCTCCACAGATTTTCAATGGGGTTGAGGTCTGGAGACTGGCTAAGCCACTCCAGGACTTTCAAATGCTTCTTACAGAGCCACTCCTTCGTTGCCCGGGCGGTGTGTTTGGGATCATTGTCATGCTGGAAGACCCAGCCACGTTTCATCTTCAAAGCTCTCACTGATGGAAGGAGGTTTTGGCTCAAAATCTCACAATACATGGCCCCATTCATTCTTTCCTTAACACGGATCAGTCGTCTTGTCCCCTTAGCAGAAAAACAGCCCCAAAGCATAACGTTTCCACCCCCATGCTTCACAGTAGGTATGGTGTTCTTGGGATGCAACTCTGTATTCTTCTTCCTCCAAACACGACGAGTTGAGTTTATACCAAACAGTTCTACTTTGGTTTCATCTGACCCCATGACATTCTCCCAATCCTCAGCTGTATACTCCATGTGCTCTCTGGCAAACTTCAGACGGGCCTGGACATGCACTGACTTCAGCAGGGGGACACGTCTGGCACTGCAGGATTTGATTCCCTGTCGTCGTAGTGTGTTACTGATGGTAACCTTTGTTACTTTGGTCCCAGCTCTCTGCAGGTCATTCACCAGGTCCCCCCGTGTGGTTCTGGGATTTTTTATCACCGTTCTCGTGATCATTTTGACCCCATGGGATGAGATCTTGCGTGGAGCCTCAGATTGAGGGAGATTATCAGTGGTCTTGTATGTCTTCCATTTTCTGATAATTGCTCCCACAGTTGATTTGTTCACACCAAGCTGCTTGCCTATTGTAGATTCACTCTTCCCAGTCTGGTGCAGATCTACAATTATTTTCCTGGTGTCCTTCGACAGCTCTTTGGTCTTGGCCATAGTGGAGTTTGGAGTCTGACTGTTTGAGGCTGTGGACAGGTGTCTTTTATACAGATACTGAGTTCAAACAGGAGCCATTAATACAGGTAACAAGTGGAAGACAGAAGAGTTTCTTAAAGAAGAAGTTACAAGTCTGTGAGAGCCAGAGATCTTTCTTGTTTGAAGTGACCAAATACTTATTTTCCACCATAATATACAAATAAATTCTTTAAAAATCCTACAATGTGAATTCCTGGATTTTTTTCCCACATTCTGTCTCTCACAGTTGAAGTGTACCTATGATGAAAATTACAGACCTCTGTCATTATTTTAAGTGGGAGAACTTGCACAATCGGTGGCTGACTAAATACTTTTTGCCCCACTGTACATTTATTCTGTTGTACCTAATGTACCTAAAATGTTATTAGTTATAATTTGCTCTAAACAAAATGTCCACAAACAATGTGTGTTGTGTAAAAATAAATACATACATAAATACAGCAAATAGTTAGTAATGTTTTTGTTAAAAATGTATCCCCTGAAAACACACTCCACTTAGACTGAAGCCCTGCTGAAAGACCAAGGCTGTGTCATCACTGATGAAGCAGCCAACCAAACCCAGATAAGGATAAATACAGGGCATGTGAATGATTTTTTTCTATTGAGAGTAGATTACAAAAAATAGAATTTAACGTTAAATATTTGGCAGGACTTTCCCTTGCTGCGACTGGACGGCGTTGTGGACGATCAGTCGAACATTGTGGGCTTCTCACTCCTGAACACCAGCCACGCCCTGCACCCCCACTTCCAACGCAGCCTCAGCCTGAGCTGGAGAGACAGCTGTGGGAGGGGCCAGCACCCAGGGGCATCTGTAAGTAAGACCAAGACCAAGGCCAAGACCAGATCAGGACCAAACCAGGATCAGAACTCGACCAAGACCAGCCACATCCAAGACTCAACCTGAGCTGATCAGAGCTAACTAAACCCGGCTTCATGGTTCAGGCCAGGTTCAAACCATGTATGTTCTAGGACTAAACCAAGTCTGGACCAGGTCTAAACCAGGTCTACCCCAGCCTGACATAGATCCATTAGTTCCTCCTTGGTGATTGAAGACGGCCTCAGTTTCCTCTCTCTCAGCTGAATGCACCGCTGCTCATTCATTTGTCACAGAACACTCGCATTTCCATAAACACCAGCAACACAGGGATAACATGCAAACTCTTAACACAAACAGTTAAACAGAGTTTAATGCAGAGAGTGGAGTGTGTTTCAGCTTCTAATAATGCTACAGGAAAAAACACAAAATCCATGGTTTAGTTGCTGTGGGGACAGCAGTTACAACCATCTCTGTTCCATCATAGATCATCATTCATCATTCATTCTCGCCTCTGCATGAAAACAAGAAGGTCACACTGGCCTCTCTCAGGTCTCGGTGGTCCTGGTCCCTCACTTGTCTCTCTATCTGATCTCTCTCTGGTCTCTATCTCTGGTCTCTCTCTGTTTTCTATCTTTGGTCTCTATCTCTGGTCCCTCTGGTCTCTCTCTGGTCCTGGACTCTCACTGTGACTACATGAAAAAAAAAAAATAGGAATATTGTTTTGAAGATTTTATTTTAAAAGCCGACACGGGTCCAAACTACACGGCTGATGTGTGTGTGTGAGTGTATGTCCTTGTGTTGCAGATGTCGTCGGCTCTCATGTTCGATGCGGTGCACGTGGTGGTGGGTGCGGTTCGTGAGCTGAACCGCAGTCAGGAGATCGGAGTGAAGCCCCTGAGCTGCAGTTCACCGCTGATCTGGCAACACGGCACCAGCCTCATGAACTACCTACGCATGGTACTCACACAAACACATACTCACACAAACTGTATTATGATTGACACTATGGGAGCTTTCCTCTGGGGATATCTCTCGTCTGTCCTGTACTCCTAGCCATGTTTATACAAACTTTTTGCATGAAGTTCAGTGCATTAAAAACACAAAAGAGGATGGTTGGAGATTTAGGGAGAGCCTCGATTCAATCGTGACACTGATCCCTTCACTGGAGAGCACCTACAAAGCATCACTCCTGTATCCTCAACTTCTACTCATGATATAAGTATCATGAGAAGAAAGACTCATGGTACCTCCCCATACCGAGGGCGATGGGGAGATACCAATATTGGTTGATTGGCACTTCCCCATGGCCTTCAAAGCTCCTCTCTTTCAGAAGGTTTCCTGTGGCTTTAATCACCAGTGTTTCCTTTTCCTGAGCTCAGAACAATCATAAATCAGACCAAAGCACTTCTGGGTATCGGCTGGGATTTACTGAAAGCAAAATAAGATAAGATAGACTTTTTGCTAAATGCTTTAAAGTTTAAAAGTGAAAGCTGAATTAAATATACATACCATTGTTGTTGTTTGAAAGTTACATACCCAAGCTTTAAGCCCTTGTCTCTGGTGCAGGTGGAGTACGAGGGTTTGACAGGACATGTGGAATTCAACAGTAAAGGACAAAGGACCAACTACACTCTGAAGATCCTGGAGAAGCACCGAGGAGGCCACAGAGAGGTCAGACACACACACACACACACACACAGAAGTGTCTATTTGGCAGTTCTTGGAGTTTCTCTATTCTTTCGCTGGTGTCTCTGGTCTTTCTTCTTTTTCTCTGACTACAGTTCAAAACCTGACCAAACTCCTGAACTCTTGTATCCATCCTCACTGTATTTGAAGAGTGTGGTCTGAGTGACTCTCTCCAGACACTTTCATCTGGTGCGTCCCGTGTCAGTTCACACAGAGCAGTGTCATCACTTGTCAATAATAAAATCGATACTGACTGAAGCGCTGTGGTTTTACGAGTTCATCAGGAGTCCATGTGCGGTCAAAGCGATTGAGAGGAGGTGGAGCCAATCCTTCCAAATGCACGCATGCGCAATCCAGAGTCCTGTGCAGCCAACACAAACGATGCGGCCGCATATTTCTACAGTGTATGGGCCGCGGCGGATCTGCATGTGTAGGCTTCATTCTCTGACTTGAAAAAGTACGAGCCGAAAAGTAAGTCTGAGAACAGGGCTAGGACCAACCTCACCCTCACACCGCGAACAGCACTGCTGCAGTGTGTGTGTGGAGCTACACACACCTAATGTGTGCAAACACATGCAGGGAGTCTTTAGTCTGATGAACAGGAAATTCCTGCTTTCGTCACTCTCTTTGCCCAAATTGTTGTTGTTAGCACTTATCTTTTCACTGATGTTAACTTGTAACTTTGTTGGCAAGACCAGCGCCCCCTTCTGTTTAGCACAAAGTCGCCTATTGCTGAAAAAAGTTGATTCTGTGGCAATATGACTATTATTATCTTTAGATAATTGATCATGTCTCTGTTTTATAATGCCATTTGACTAAATAAAACAATTTATTCCATTTACTCTGAGTGACACAGTGGCTGAGTGGATAGCACTCTTGCCTCTCTGAAACAAGATCCTGAGTTTGAAATCCTGGTCAAAACAGGGCCTTTCTGACTGAGTTTGAATGTTCTACGTTCTACGTCTACGGATGCTCTGGTTTCCCCTACCTCTAAAAATATTTTCAATAGGTAAAATCCTACTGCTCCTGATGTAAGCCATAGTGGCATCAGGATGGGTCAAATGCAGAGGACGAATATCCCTAGGGGGACAAAAAAGTATACATTTACATTTACTTATAAATACTCTAATTATTCTATGTATGAATAGGCTAAATCCTCTTCAACTCACCAAACATTCCTAAATTTATTTTGATTCACCATCTATAAAAGACATGAGCAGGTGAATGTTGAACCAAATCATTGTTGGTTGAAGCTGAGGTAACTTAAATAGATGAGATTGCAGCAGCTGTATGCAGCAGGTCTATGCACCAGATGTATTCAGCAGGTCTATGCAGCAGATGTATGCAGCAGGTGTAACAAAATGTGAATAGTTTTCAACAGTGATCTCTTGCTCAGAGTGTTCCACGTGCCGCTCAGGGGGTTTGTGTTATTGCTCAGACCCATGCAACAGAACACTGATCACAACCAATCATTTATTTTTGAAGAAAATATATAGATAACGAAAAAAAACACGAATACAGTATGTCCTGTTATATTCCTGGATCATTATTTTATAGTGAGTAGATTAACACAGTTGCCAGAGAGAGACCAGAGAGAAAGATCTAAGACCATGGATCCTGATGTCTGGAAATCCTCTCTACTGGCTTACATCGTACACATGTTTTTGAATATTGCCACCACTTTTTGACCATACTTGATAGATAGTCCAGAAAGAGAGCAGAGAGAGACTGAAGAGGGACCAGTAAGGAACAGTAAGGAAAGGAGGTGCAGAGAGGCAACAATGTCACACATTATGTCACAGTAATGTACGATAAAACAAATGTGTATAATTGGAAATATACGTAATAAAAGCTGTGTTTGCTGGGTTTGCTGGTCTGACAGCACAGGCCTCTGATAAACGATCGCTGTGATTTGGATCCATCCGTCTCGGGTCGTCCCTGTGGCACCACCGCTACCACAGTGTAATTAAGATAAGAAAAGCGTTGCTATGGAAACAAATCCAAATGAGCGTCTGCTGATGAAAAGACAAAATGTGTGATGTGCAGAGATCACCGCAGCGATTTATGTGTCCATCACAGTTTTAGAATCGCCACCGGTGGTGTCCAGAGCGTTTCGACGGAAGGCATGATATTAATCTGGATGGAGCTACAGACTCCAAAAAGAGAAAAGATAGTCAAAAGTAGTAGTAGTAGTAGTAATCTTTATTTATATACCGCCTTTTCACTGCACATTGGAGTCTCAAAGCGGTTTACAATTGTTATTTTTGGGAGTGGGGGTGCCAGTACAGGAGGCACATGCCAGACCTATTGTACATATTTTTAGTGGTAGGGGAAACCGGAGCACCCAGAGGAAACCTACGCAGACACAGGGAGAACATGCAAACTCCACTCAGAAAGGCCCTGGTCCAACCGGGATTCGAACCCAGGACCTTCTTGCTGAGAGGCGAGAGTGCTATCCACTCAGAAAAAAAGCCTCTCTCTCTGGTCTCACAGTCTCTCACTAATCTCACCGTCTCTCTCTGGTCTCGCTGGACTCTTTCTGGTTTCTGTCTGGACTCCCTGGACTCTCTCTGGCCTCTCTGATCTCACAGTCTCTCTTTTATACCCAGGGGGTATAAAACCGAACATATCAAAACACAGTACTCTTTTTTTGTCACAGATTGGGATGTGGTTTTCTAACAACACTCTGGTGATGAACTCCACGTCTCTGGACCTGAACTCCTCCGAGTCTCTGGCCAACAAGACCCTCACCATCACCACTATACTGGTACATGCTACATGCTAACACAGGATAACTCTTGCAAAAGTAAATAGTTTTTCTCACAACTCTGTCTTCCCCTTTTAGAGAGATTTATTCCTCCTCTTTCTCGTGTTACCCTTTAGAAGAACCCTAAACCTTGCCTCAAATGTTTTGATTCTAATAAGGTACAAATTAAATAAATCATGAAAGAAACAGTTACCTACACTACTACAATTTGACCAATCCAGTTTGAATTGTAATCGTATATGTTCATATATAAGAGACCTAGAGACTGTTGAAGGAGACAATAAGAGCTCAAATAGGCTCCATGAGCAGGGGTCTGCAGCCGAAATCTCTTATTGCAACAACCAAGCAACTCTTTTTTTATCTTCTTCACCAGTCTCCTTCAGGAGAAAACTAACCTCCCCTCTTATACCCTTCATTAGAACATTAACCCTCCCCTTGGTACCCTTCAGGAGAACACTAACTTTCCTACCTTTCAGGAGAACACTTAAGCCTAGTGCAGCCATTCCCAAACTCAGTAACACCGAGGCCCCCTTAAAAATCTGACGGGTCTGCGTGGCCCCCCAAAATAATAACCAAGAAGACAACATTAAGAATAGGCTCTTCTGGTTATTTTATTTTGGGGAAATAGCCTCTGCTACAAACATTGTAATACAAAAAGGATTACAGTGGATTATTCAAGTCAAATAATGAACACATATTTTAATATTACAAACAAAACATTATAAATTTAACATAATGTTTTTTTATTTTTTATTTTTTTTATTTTTTTTATGACCTCCCGCGGCCCCCTTGCAGGACCCCACTTTGGGAGACACTGGCCTAGTGTATACTTGCGCGGCGTGGCTTACGTTAGCGGTTGCAGTGGACCTACGTAAGCACAATTGATGTTATACTGGCGCGTTCCCCTTACGGAGTTTTGAGGAGAATGTTGTAATCCCACAACAAACCACATGAGGGCGATCACACAGGAGCGGTCCCATTTACGCTGCTACTTTGTCCTCTTCAGAACAACAATAGCAAACAAAGCTGTCTGAGCTCATTACACGTGTTTCTACTGTAGGTTTATGTGATAGTTTTATGGATTCATTATTTTATAAGTCATTTCAACTGTGATGCTGTGAATAAAGACACAGTTCTTGTTGGAAACATAGTTATTATTAAATAGTTTTCAGCACAAACAGCAAAACAATAATAGTGGTAAATATCTGAGACAAACATGAACGATTTACGAGTGCAGGAGGAAAGCAACAAACGCAGCTGCGATTCAAACAAAGACAGGAACAGTGCAAAACAAACGACTGCACAGTTTATAAGTTATATATATGTTAGATAGTCCACTGTCTCCTGTATATCAGGCTCTGAGCCCGAACTGCTTTTCCTTCGAAGCACAAAGCTCTCTGCTCCATAGTGCCTCGTGCATTGTCCCTGCTGCAGCCGCCCCTTGCTTCCTTCCAATACACACACACGGACCAATCACAGCGGAGCTTCCTTGCGGCGACCCTTACGTAGTTAGAACATTTCGATGCTGCAGGGCAGGCAACGTAAGGGCCTTGCGGTGACCAACGCGTTGCGCAAGTGACGTCACGTCACCTCCGTAAGCTCCGCGCCGCGCGAGTATAAACTAGGCATAACTCTCCCCTCTTATACCCTTCATTAGAACATTAACCCTCCCCTTCAGGAGAACACTAACACTTGTACCCTTCAGGAAAGCCCGTATGTGATGCGGAAGGCCCGGTTCCAGGATCTCTCTGGCAATGATCGGTACGAGGGTTTCTGCGTAGACATGCTCCGTGAGCTGTCCCACCTGCTGCATTTCTCCTTCAGACTGAAGCTGGTGGACGACGGGCAGTACGGAGCCCCAGAACCCAATGGCAGCTGGACGGGCATGGTGGGCGAGCTCATCAACCGGGTGAGAGGCAGCGTTTGACCCATGGGTCTGCTGGGTTCATGATTCCTGCAGCTGTAATCCTACACACTATGGTGTTTAATTGAGTTGGACCAAAGATTTTATTTGAGGAGTAGACTGATTGCCGATTCGTGCAATTATCATCTGACGTTAGACCAGACAGTGGATCGCTGCTTTACAATAGATAGTGAGAGGTGGAACATCCACTGGGGGAAGCAGAACAGGTCACAGCAGCAGAGGAAGAGTAGTCGCCTGAGTTGGACCATTTTCTCAGTTCCAGGCCAGAGTGAGATGCTATATATAATATTAGCATTACACCAGGTGTCTAACCAGTTGGGGCGGGTCCCGGCTCAAAAATGTCCAAAATTACGTGTGATGACATGCTTTCAATAACACCAGGCCGATGAGGGTGGACCCAGAATAAGAATTAGCTAATGCTAATGTATAGCATCTCCTTACTTCTCAAAAACGGCTTTACAGGATGGTCCAAAAGTCGGCCCTTGCCCCAAAGCTACGTTCCACATGCTAAGGGGAGTGTATTTTTTTGGATCAGTCTCGTTTAGTCTCGTTTAGTTTTTTTTGGCACTGAATGAATGGGGCTTGTGCCGGCTGACGCATGCGCAAATGCGTTTTTTCCATGGATCTATAATAATAACTGGATAGGGTATCACTAGTTTATAGCTGTCCCACCCATGGGCACAGGGGGCGCCCGTTGTACTGCAGACTAAATTCAAGTGGGCTACACAGAAAGAAGTTCCATAGAACTCAATAGAATCTAAAACAGCTCGACCTCAGCTGACAGAGCATCTACAGCTTTCTTAAAGGTCGGATTTTGTGAGGATTTTAGTCTCCCTTGTCATCCTGAACTTTTTTTTCTTCTTTAATATTTCGGTTTTCTTTAAAGCCACACTTAACTACCACAAACTCTGCTCGTTTGACTCGCTTTAACTCCCGCTCTAGCTCCGCTCCTGTCAGCTCTGATTGGTCAAAGCGCGGCCGAGCCCCTCTGTGCACGTGCATGGGAGCAACACACGCTTATCTTGGATCACCGGGGCTTGTTTTTTTTAAATTTTCCAGCCCCCGCAGCCATTTTGAAACTACCCATAGATGGCGTTACTGGTGACTTATTAGTTTGAACCAGTGAATCCTAACTGCTCTGGTCTGGATCCGTGAAACACCATGAACACTGTAATGCAGTGGCATTTACCGATAGAAAAAAGCAATAAAAATAAAAATTGTAAAGCATAAAACCAAAACAGTTACAGAGATACAGTACTTAGGACCTGTTTCCAGCACAATCAAATGTAAAACCAAAATACAACAGTATTAATATTCAGTATAATTGTTAAAAATCCCTCTAAATAGTCCCCCCCCCTAATTTTTTTGGGATTTAAAACATTGACAAGGAGCTACTCAAAAACCCAGAGTGGAAAGATAAGTTAAGATACTCCAAAGAGCGAGGGACCTCCGTTGAAGCCCCACAAAGAGAGAAGGATCCGCTCTCTCAGACTGACAGGCTGTAGAATAGGGACTGAGGCCATGCCTCTCTCTCTGGTCCCGCTCTAGTCATTCTCAAATCTCTCTCTGGTCTTACTCTGGTCTCTCTCTCAGGTTTCTCTCTGCTCTCACTCTAGTCTCTTTCTCAGGTCTTTCTCTGGTCTCTCGCTGGTCTCTCTCTGGTTTCTCTCTTTGATTTTTCTCTGGTCTGTCTCTGGTTTCTCTCTGGTGTCTCTCTGGATAATCTAAAGACTGCTAAAAGACTTCTACATTTCTACAACATGAACTGAGCAGTCCACAAAGGCTGAAATGTTTTAATTTGACATAATGTGTGTATTCTTTGCAACTTCAGTCAACTCCACAAACAAGGTCAACAAGATGTGCTTCTGAAGTCTTTGAGACAAGGGCGGGATGTGGAGCTGAAGGAGGTCGTTAAGGCTGTAATTAGAGTTTTCTGCTGTGAAGACGCCACAAACTTTATTTAACTCTGGCGTAATGAGATTGCTATTTATAGACTCTGAAAAAGACCATTTACCAAGAGAAGAGCGGAAGGACTCAATTACACACAGAAAAGTGTTTAAAAGAGTTAAACCCTTCTTCTGTTCCATAGACTGTATACAGATTGATAATGCTAACCCGCTAACTCAATGAAGCCCAATAGGGAAGTGTGCTCCTATTGACTTCTAAACTCCTCAAGCTCAGCGACCGTTTGTGTCAAAGATAATGCCCTCGAAACAAATGCTGATTGAGGAAATTTTCTCCAGCTAGCTTATATTAAATATGGCTTCTTCTGCATTAAGTTGGACAATATGTTGATGTCACACTTGGTCAGTCTACTCCTAATTTACAGTCTATGTCCTGTTCTTTAGATGATCCTCTGATAAGCTTTTGGTGATTTTGTGTTATTACAGGGTTTTATATTATGTGCTATGAAAGTTATGTATCCGCACTGAAATGAATCTTGTGTGTCCTTTCTCTCTAATTTTTATCATGGGAAATTTTGCATGGAATTTTGTGCATCAGTTTTTCCCAAGCAGGGGTACGTGGCGAAAAGCAGGGGTTATTGAAATGAGTAACTTAACGCAGGGGTCATATGTGTGACCATGGCACATACTGTAACTGTTGATTTACTTTATATTTATTGAACACATGAGGTAAAAAGTATTAAATTTAGGCTTGCTGCAAACTGATTGTTCTACAGCAGACCTGGGCACAATTATGGGGTGTTCAGACCGTCGACTCTTGAACGCAAGTTCCGCGCACTGGACGCACATTCACTAAATTTCAGATGCAGAATGAAGTGCTGTCCCGCCTTTGCGCATGGCGGAAGTGGCGGGCGGACTTTGATCCTAACAGCCTGCGGCTTTATGTGTAAAGTCCGTCTCCAAGAATGCAGCTCTGCATCTCTGTGTCCAGAGACCTTCCAGACTAAGTGTGATTTTATTATTAAACGGTACTTCCGCAGCAGCACTTGTTTACAGAGTGTCCCCCATTGTCAGTCCTGGTTTAGCTCCTGTTTTGGCTGTTAACAAGTATCTTCAGTATGCTCACTTAGACCGCTAGTGTCCCCGTGACCACTTTGCGGCTCTCTGGTGGGCTGCTGCACGTGTGGCCGGCAAAAAGAGTTCAGCAATGTCCATCTCCTGCCTGTGCCTGCGTCTAGTTGCTGCTTCTGTGCCTCTGCCGCGTTATCCGTGCCGCACATGTAATTCCATGCTCAACCGGACGCCACCATTGACTTTGCATTGAAAGTTGCGGCAACGCATGATCCGGTCTGAACGCCTCATAAGACCCCGGGGCCAGGTCCGGCCCGCCAAGTGATTTAATCCAGCCTGCGGCTCATTATCCATAAAAGTATACTTTATTCAGCATTTTCTGCGCCGCTTTGACGAATCCGCGGTATGTTCACGACCAGCTCTTATATCTGAGGACATTCACGTGATACGATCGTTCCGTCACTCGCAGCCATCAACAACATTCGCTCATCATAAACAAAGAAAGGAAGGAATACGCTGCTAAATTCGGAGGTAAGGTTGCAGAGATTAACCGGTTTTACGGTAATCGCAATTATAAAAACCTGCGGTGGGTTAACCATAAGGATTTTAGATGGCACGATTTACCGCTGGTAAGGAAAACTCTCCCGCGAGGTGCAGTATGGGCCGCTGCACACAGCAGCGCAGACTCACTGGTAACTTGAAGATGGCAGGACAAGCTCCCCCAGAGTTATATCCACCACAACTTAAGTCAGCAGTGTGGGATCACTTTGGGGATCCAAAATATGAGCCAGGTGTTGTTGCCAATACTTCAAACATGATACAACATCTTCGAGGTAATCCTCCTTTGCTGTATGTCCAAGTCAAGGTAGACAAATAAGCGCCAAAATTGTCCCAGGATAAACATTAATGAAAATGATTCTGCTAATATGAAAGTGAAAGTTACACCGGCAAAAACACTTGCACGTGTGCTGGGAGACGCTCTTAAAAGGGACAGTACGCACGTATCCTTAGTCAACAGATGGCGCCTATGTTTGGTTGTGCCTCTGCTCGTCAGCTACAATGTATGCTACAATGTTGTTTTCCTGTATTATTCATAACATACTTTGCCATCCTGTCTGCTCTGATGGCCAGCGATTGTGCCATGGCTCTACGGACTTATGACCGCAGCTCTCTTTTTAATATTAAAGCTGGTATGGAGCGCCGATGGGGCAGCTACAGGAACACTTTTCCGACCCCGTTCGCGTTCACCCCCACTTCCCAGGAGTACCTGGGGCTGTTGCGACTCCCGGGTATATGACTGCACAGAAACAGATGAGCTCATGTGCTCTTTTAAGTCACTGTACAACCATCTTGGATCAAGTGGCTCCTTTTAAAACTATTAATCTGGAGCATCAACAGACTTGTCCCTGGATTAATGACGCTGTTGTGAATCTGCAGAGATCCTGCCTTAAAATTGAACGCTTGTGGCATTCCACCAAACTTGATGTTCACAGACGGCATCTCAGGGACCTTGTCGCCTCTCTAAACGATCAATTAGATGAAGCAAAATCAAAATATTTTCATCAGTTGATTGTCTCCAATAAGAGAAACCCCAAGGTGATCTTCGACACTATCAATTCTTGTGTCTCTCCTGCTGCCGCTGCTGTCGCTGTGCAGTGAAGAGCAAGTTGTATTGAGTTTCTGAACTTCTTTATTGGCAAGGTTAGAGAGATTAAAGATAATCTTCCTTCCTCTCCTTCCTTCAGTCAAGCTCACGTTGACCCTCCTCCTCAGAGCTGGCCGTCCTTTGAGTCAGTCACTCACACTTTTAACACCAATTGAGTTTTTACCATTTTACTTTTACGTATGTATGTATTTCGTGCTTCTTTCTTTTGTTTTTTATCTTTCATGCCTGTGAAGCACTTTGAGCAGCTGGTGATGTTGTATATGTGCTATACAAATAAAGTTGACATCGACATTGACTCAAGAGGATATTCTATTCACTATAAAGTGCATGAAAGTGTCGTGTTGTCGACACTATGTTGTCCC